TTTTAACCATTAATATGTTGGTTTTCATTCTCCACCCGCAATTATCTACTCCTTATGGGCATGTCTTCTCTTATATTCTCAATCAACCACAGTATTTATAATGAACTAAACCATTAATTTATATTCTATTTAAATTGCAATATGGAATGAAAAGGCTTATTTTTATTATGCATTTATCATTTTCTTATGCACGAATTTAAGGGTAGGTTATTGTTTTGATTAGAGTGAGGCTTATGAATGTTTAAAAAGTGTGTTGGCTCCATGACTAACAAAGGATGTTGATGCAGGGTCATGTGTTTAATCACGCCGTGATGTTTGCAGGTACCTGCGTGATGTGGTTGAGTCTACGGCCTGAGCATTTCAACTCATACTCTGGTCTGATCTGTAGCTGCTGCTGTTCCTCCTCAAAGTCCACAAGGTCCCACTCATACTCCAGACGGGCCTGCCGCCGCTTCCAGAACTCCAGGAACAGGGTCACTGCAAAGCACCCAGAGAAAGAAAGTGAGAAACAGAGCAGAAAAAATAACAAATACATTATTTAGGAGCATCACATTCACACTTACTATCAATTCTATTTAAATCTAACCAGCTTCACCCTATGGTGTCACACAGTGTTGTTTTCTTCTTTACAATAATTGTACTCAAACAAGGTCTAACAAAAGTTTAGAAGCTAAATAAACCATTTTTAATTGGCACACTGGGTGCAGAAATATTCACACAGTGCTGATTAATCAAATCACTGCATAAGCAGAGCTCATTTTTGAGGCCTGTGTGAAAAGAATTCAGTGTTCAGTAATGGATAATCAACATGCACCACTACCCTACAAGTAATTAAAGATACTTTTTCAAAAAGCATAGACAAATTATGTTCCTTCATTGTAGACTTATCTAGTGAACAAATTCTGTGCCCAATTATTTGACAATATGAATACATTAAACTGCTTCATGCACAGTTGCTAATCTCTCATTAGATCTGGAGTCTGACTAGCAATTTCCATCTAACCACTAGATTGAGCTATTGAGCTAGTATTTTAAACAATCAGAGTGCACTCACCCCAAATACCCATGAACATGGCAAAGAAGACAGTCCCCTCGTTATCAAATAGATGGGATTGCTAAAGGAAAAAAAACGATCATTCTATGATGAAGGGAAATCATTATTTATGTTTCAAACGGTGAATCTAAAATATTTCTCACCCAGGAGGACAGACATGTTGAGTTGAGTTTCCAGTAGCTGCACTTTTTATCACAGAGTGGACACATGACAATCATCCCACCGATTTCTGGGTCACAGATCTCCTTGCTGAAAACAGGGAGGAGGAGAGCAACAGAGAGAAATATTACTGTAATGCAGAAGTGAATATGACCAAAATCTCAGTTCACCCTCTGACTGCATTACATCAGTGAAGTAGAAAACAGTATCAACACACCATGGAAAACTTGTGCACAAATGAACCACTCAGGTTTAACAACAAACACCATATTATGAGCATGTTCCACAAACATCTTTAGCTCTGCAATCTAGAAAAACAAACGCATCTAGGCTCCAGAGTCCATCTATTACAGATTGTATGTGCCCATAATGGTTTTGCTTGTTATACAAAACAGAATTGTTTTTTTTAAGACACTGTCATATACTATGGAAGCCCGTTTCCACCATGGAACAAAAAAAAGTGACTTTTTATCTCACAATTCACACTTTGTTTCTCGCAGTTCTATGAAAAAAGTCAAAAGTGCAAGATATAAACTCAGAATTCTGACTTTTTTCATGCATTTCTGAGTTAACATGTCACAATTCTCAATTTATGTCTTACAATTATGATTTTTTTTTCTCAGAATTTTTACTTCACATCTCGCAATTCAGCCTTTTCCCCACAATTCACAATTCAGAATCTCACAATTCTGAGTTCATATCTCAATGCTGAGTTTAGCAATTCTGACTTTGTGAGATAAAAAGTCACAATTACTTTGTTTTCTGTGGCGAAAACATTTGACTAATACATTATAACACCTATCAGACGTTACGGTTTACAAAAGAACAAAAAATATAAACCATCTCATTCAA